ATCAGGTTTTGCAGTGGTTTGTCTATATAAAGTGAAAAAAAGGGGGGGGGGGAAGAGAATACTGACGAACCATTTGGAAGTTGGACTGGGAATCCAGCTGACCACCAGACTTGTTGATTCAACCACAGCAAAGCTTGGAGAAGTGCAGGTATTTAACATTTATTTTCAGTTTCCCAACTTTGCAGTTAGAGAAACACCTCCCAGAAGTATTCATTCTCAGAGGTTGCCTTCCAAGTTCATGAACAGAAACCTAGGAGTATCTTTTCTGCCAGGTGTTTAAAGCTGAATGGCAGGCAGAAATTCAACAGGTACAGCTTCATTATTGCATCTCAATTCTGAATCAGCTGAATATACGCTAGACACACATTACAGGCAATGAACTTCCAGACTTCGTCATGTTATGCTTTGAAGATGTCCACATACAAATGTAACATGTGAACACCACAAATGGGTTTCAAATTGTATGCATCTCATGGGTTCAAGGAAACCAAGCTAGATTGTTGCTGTCCTTTGCATGTATTAATTCATTATTTATCTGTAATATTTGTATACCATTAAATATAAATACATTTCAAAATGGTTTGCAGACATGACAATCACATTTAAAATACAGTACTAAAAAGCAGTTCCAGTTATCATAACAATACAGAGCAGTGAGATGGAGCAGCATGATCAATTCGATTCCAGCTAGGATGAACAAGTGCATTTCCAAGAGGCTTTTGAAACACATCACATTTCCTGCAACCCAAATTGCAGACTTGGGAAGAGTTTTTCAAAGGGTTGGTGCTGCTATTGAGAAGGCCTGTCACTGAGGTGCATCAAGGCAATAGTATGCTAACATTTGAATGACCGGCACACACTCCTCTGATGATCTTAAAAGCTGGCTTGATATATAAGGGATGGTGATCTAGTAGATACCTTGGTGCTCAGTTTAGGGCTTTGTACAACAATGGCATTGCCTTGAACATGGCTTGGCTGCTAACAGGTAGCTTGTGGAGTTCTTTCAACATGGGTGTTGTGGGCTGCCCAGTAATCTAATTGTGAGGTTACCGCTGCAGGGATCACTGCGGCCAGGCTATCCCTTTCCAGGAATGGCCATGGTTGGTGCGCCAGCTGAAGTTGGTAATGGGTGCACCAGGCCATGGAGGTTACCTGGGCCTCCAGTGGCAGAGATGGATCTAGGAGCACCTTCCAAATTACCTGCTCCTTCAGAAGGGGTGCAATCCTATCCACAGCAGGCAAACGACCCAGTTCCCTGACCTGGGAACTGCCAACCCCTAGGGCTCTGTCTTATTCAGACTCACCTTCAATATCATAATAAGCCCAACAAGAATTGGTTGCCATCTAATATAAAGGCTGGGTTTTGATGAGCAGCTCATGATAGAATATATTTTCCCTTCTCTCAACAGCCACCCTTTTAGAAAAGAAATGTCACATATGATGAAGCAGCCACCACCAATATGTTTAATCCCCCAGCTGCTGGTCCTGTCTTAAATACCTTTACTATTTGAGATGATATATTTTGTCTTCAAAAATGACTCGTTGAGCTAATATCTATTTCCATACCTCATTAACATTCAAGATTATCTCCCTGAGCAAGCAATTTACATAGATCAGCTCATTAGTATTCCTCAGTAGTTCATTTCAGTTCAGGCTGCATGGCAGATTCTCTCCTCCCCATTATTTCATTAATATTCAAGCTTACTTCTGGCAGGGCTGTCAAACAGAGGGCACCAGGGGGCTGATTAGGCCCCTTGGGGTCTCCAGCATATCCTCACCATATCCCACTCAATGCAGCCATTGACAAATCCATAAGTGGAAGTTCTTGGCTAAGGAAAGAAGCTGTCAACACAGGCTGTTATTTCATCCAAGGCATCAGATTCTTACCCATTCCTTTTCAATAGCATTTATGAATGTCAATTAAGTAGCAAAGAGAATCCACAGGCAAGGCTGACTGCACCACAACACAGCTCTTGGCACCTTTCCTTTTTCTTTCTTGGTTTTCCTCCCAATACTGAGCATTCCAGTGTGGCTCTGAGCATTTGCAATCCATGCGCACAAAGAGCTGCATGGGAAAGAGTCGTCGATCCTCAGTGTGTCCACTGCTTCCAAAGTGGATACGATGCAACCATCCAGAGGAAGAGTTGCAAGGAAAGGAGGTTTGTTAAATTTATGTGCAATGATATCAAAGAAAAAGGTAAATTTCCCCGAGGGTAAAAAAGACCTTGCTCTTGGTTAATTGTAGCAAGGACTGTTGTGGCTAGTAGGTGTGCTCCAGGTTTGAGCCCTCCCTGGGCAAAGTGTCCTCTGGGTGGTCCCCTGTTCTATCAGTAGGTCCTGGCAGGCTTCCTACCTTCTGTGGTGGCAGTGTTAGGCACCTGGGATGCGCAATTCAGCTTCACTTTTCAATCAACAACCCTCATAGAACATAGACATCAAGACATATGCAGGAATAAAATGCAAAAGCATCAGATAAGAGCAACACTTCTTATTTTCCACAGTTCATGTTATGGGGAAGGTTGATAGAGGGGTTTTTTTTCTCCCTTTCCTGTAATACTAGAACTCTGTGGGTTCATTCCATGAAATTGATTGGTGGGAAGTTCAAGCCAGATAGGAGGAAGTACTTGTTCCTCTTGGAACATGGTTACAATTATGGGGCCATGGTTAAACTATGGGATTCAATTTCACAAGATGAAGTAACAGTCAACAATATGGACAGCTTTAAAGGGGAATTTGACAAATTTATATAGGATAAAGTTATCAATGGTAACTACTCCGACTTGACTATATGCCACTTTCAATGCCTATGTAGTCCAGTTGCTGGGGGACATGATTGGGAAGGTGCTGTTGCACAGCTGTCCTTTTATGGGCTCCCATTGTATGAATGGAGTGCAGAACTAGATGGACCCTTGGTTGGATCCAGGATCACTTTTCTTATGTTTTATATTTTTAAAAAAAGTTTTGATGAAGAAACAGCAGGATAAACTAAATGTTACACTGGAGGACTAACATGGTTTTCTTTTTTTAAGAACTGCTGTAGATCCTGTGATTTGCAAAAAGGTCTCATTTGCAAGGAAAAGCGGGCCTCAAAGCCTTTCCTTGCTTCATGACCCCAATTCAGATTAGATGCACTCGTTATTAGTTTGAAGGCACATTGCCAAAAGAAGAGACTCACCTCCCTCACCTGAGGAATACTTTCAGGCTAGTAGGATATCAATACTGACAATGAATCTTCTACAGTGCCTAGAGATACACTTCACAGGATTTGTCAGTGAGGGCAACATTGTCTGCCTTTAAATCATATTTTGTCAGCATGCACTGCTTTGGGAAAACTAGTGTAGAAATATTATTAAATATTTGGAGTGGTGCTTGAGCTATTTCAGCTTTCTTTGTGACCTGAAAGTTTGATACCAGGACTTTGAATTGGACTGGAAAACCCACGGCAATTCCTAGTGCAAGAATATGCTGTATGTAAAAAGCACCCCTTATTAACTTTTGTTGTCATTTAAACATCATGTCAAAGCTTTTCTGTTCATCTGGGGCACAATCTTATTTTCCCAGTGTATGACAGCAGCCTTCTCCAACCTGGGGTCCTCCAGATATTTTGGATTTCAACTTCCCTCAGTCCAGGCAACACAGTTAATGATCAGGAATTCTGGAAGTTGGTAGTCTAAAACATCTGGAGGGCCCCAGTTTGTGGGAAGCTGGTGTATAAGTTTGGAAATTTAATTTTGAATCTCCAGAAGTTAACTGCAATGTTCCTCCTCATTCATCCAAAGCTGCAGTATGGAAAGGCTATTATTTTTGTAATGTTGCTTGCTTTTTGTTGTTGTTATGTGCCTTCAAGTCCTCTGCAACTTATGGAGGTCCTATGTATGAAAGCCCTCCAAAATGTTTTATCTGTAACAGCTCTGCTCATCTCTTGCCAATTCAAGACCGTGGCCTCCTTTATGAAATCAATCCATCTCATATTTTTCCTTTTCTTCTTCTGACTTTGATCTTTCCTAGCATGCTTTTCTTTTTCAGGGAGTTTTTCATGATGTGCTTTAAGAATGACAGCTCCGTTTCATCATTTTTGCTTCCAAGGAAAGTTCTGGTTTGATTCGGTCTAGGTCCCCTTTATTTGTCTTTTTCTCAGTCCAGAGTATTCAAAAGCTCTCCTCCAGCACCATGTTTTGAACACATCCATTTTCTTCCCATCACCTTTCTTCACTGTCCAGCTTTCACACCCATCCATGGTGATCAGAAATACAATAGTCTGGATGATCTTGACTTTGGTCTCTAGTGGAACATCCTTATCCCTGATGATTTGGTTGCTAAAAGTATAATGAAGATGCTATTAAGGGAAGGAATTGATATTGCAGATTGAAAACTTCATCCAATTCAGTCTTCCAACTCATCTGATTGGACACCCTTGATTTATCACCTGTGTCCAGCAGCGTGACTTTTGAGGCCGGGGACATCGCTAATTAGCTGCCTGAATACTTTTTCTCCACTAAAACCCACCTCCTCCGAATAGATGCCATTATGCGGACAGTATATTTACGACACTAAAAACACTGCTTTTCCTCACGCTCAGCTCTAATTAGCTGCTCCCTCCGTCAGTTGGGCGGGTTTACTTTGCTCATAGGGCCAATTAGGAACGTGCCCGCCTTGTTTGAATAAGAAAGAAGACGTGAAAGAGGTTCACTCGGTCAACCGCCTCGTCGTTTCCCATTGGCTACCAGGCTTCGATGATTTGTCATTTTCCTAACTAGCGACGCACGGGAGCGCTCACATACTATTGGCAAACGGTCGTGCCAATCGGATAGTTTGAAACTCGCCCCCGCCCACTTCCTTTTCACAGCCGTTACCAGATAAACAAACCACCTTCCCTTTAAACGCCGCTTTGCCCAAACGTTCACATTCAAATCCCTCCAATCAGGTTCCATGGTACCACCCCTCCACTACATCTCTCCCCATTGGCTGCAGGCCGTCGCGGACATTGGTTGTCAACGGTTCTCCGCGAGGAGAGGACCCGAGAAGGGAGGGGGGAGGAACGGACCCCCTCCGTTCTAACGGGCTTGATTGGGCCGCCGGGGTTCCAAAGGGGTGTGGCCGGCCTTGGCCGAGGGCTATAAAAGCCTTTGGTGGGCATTGGCCACCCTCATTAAAGTGAGGGTGGTGGAGGCGTGTTCTTAGCAGCCGGGGGGGCGGGGGCGAAGCGGGGGGAGGGTATCTGATATTCGTTTTTCTACCCCGTAAATACATAAAAAGAAGAACTTCTGAAACGACAGGTCCAGCGTCTCTTCGATAGGGCTGCAGGCTATCTGGTTCCCCAAATCTAGAGTTCAGAGTGCTAGGCTAGGGGTAGGTGCATGATCTAAAGTAATTTGTATACAGAGCAAGGCGCATATGTGATCTCTTTAAGGATCAAAGTTAAATTGTGCTGCTTTACAGCCCTCTGTGCAGACCCAACACAATGGTGAGTGGTTTCTGGATCTGTGTATCCCTGTTCACCCGCTTGAAGTTTCTCCTTTCCCTTGGCACCCTCTAGAACTTGGTGGGGCTGGAGTGTTGTGAAAGTGTTGTTGGTAGTTTCCCTGTGATAAAGGCATTATGATAAAGGCTCACGGAATGAGTATTTTGGAATTGTGCGTGCTTCGGGACAAAAATTTTGGAGTTTCATATTTGCATGTGGGCACACGTGTAAATGCAGTCCAGTGATGGGGAGTGAAATGTTTGGTCACCTGAGCCTGGATCATATTTAGTCGGGGGAGGATTTAGGACTGGTGCCATCTGTGGGACTTGTTTGTAATATAACCCCAATGTCTACCATGGCTGTTAATTATCATATTAGTATTTATGGATGAAATAGTGAAAAGACTACTGAAGTCTCACAGTTGTGATCAGTGGAGTGTCAGACTGAACTAGGATGCTAAGATGCAGTCCTTGATAAAGGATGGAGTGACATGCTATAAAATGTAGCTGTCTTAAGCAAGGGTGAAAATACATCATTTTTATCCTCCACAGAGGCTGGCTCTTAAAATACGATAAAAGAGACCCATATAGTCTTCACCAAAGAACCATTTAAACTGGAGTGAATGTAAATAGGCCTTAATCTGGCATAAAAAGTGTTGAAAGTGTTGCATGCTGAGATGTTCTGATGCCTTCATCATTCGGCACTTGTTTAAAACTTCAAACATAATGGCTCAAAGGAGAGAGGAAGATGTAGGTCATCCACAGAGTATGTCACCCTTGAAACAACTTTTCAGTCTCTACTGATTGCCACACTGTGTCCCATTTTTCCTCTGTTATACTTTTGTTACCCCCTCACCCTTCAGATACATGACATGTGGCATACCTGATGGATCATCCTCATGTAAAACACACTTTATTGAGACTAAGGAAGGCTTTTTAAAACCTTAAAGTACATGCTTGGGCAAGTAGATTCCTTGTTGCTAACAAGTATCCACTCTTTAATAATTCTCAGATTGGATTTTCTGGAATGCAATTATTGGTTGGGTGCCCTATTAGCATATTTATAAAGGAATGTTTTAAATTGACTGGATTTATGAATGCAAAAGTTCAGCTTCCCCTCTGGGTGGCCTTCTGTTTTGTGCACACTCACCCCTCACATTTTCTTTTATTTCTGAGTACCAGGCTTTTTCTTTAGGCCTCTTCCTATTTTTATCCTTCCTGTTCCAAAAAAAATGTCACCACCATGCAAAGTAATATTTAGTTCGTGCTTTTAAATACCAATATGGGAAAATTTAGCTTGGCTAGAGATTGATAAATAAAGGCTGGATTCCTGGGTACACTTACCAGGCAGGAAATCCCTTGAACTCCATGAAACTTATTTCTTAGTAAACATGGTTATGATTGCATTGTAAGAGGTGTTTCAGATTTTATGTCTGGTTGGATTTCTTTATGTTAAGATTTAGGAAATTTTAGTTCTCTTTGTATATTCTTGGGAGTTTTATTCCATATTTGGAGAAGCCCTCCATATTTGTAAACCACTCACTGGTGTTTTTACTGCTAGCAACAACAGTATCCTTTCAGGCTTTCTTGCTTTTGGAGTTTGAGTGCAGTCAAGGCCATGCACTTGCCCCTTTTCGAAAGAATGCTGCTTTAACCTCTATAAATCTAGTTAACCTTCAAAAAAATCTTTTGTCTTAGTTAGGCCTTTGAGTAAGTATGTGTTTATGCCTGTGTTGCTGCATACATCCTTCTCATTATATTAAGATCTACACAATCTTGACTTTTGTATGCTTGGAGCTCTGTTTAATTGTCAAAGATTTGTCCCCTGAGAACAAGTTAAAAGTATTTGTTGTGGAGGGCAGGAGGTGTTTCATGATTCTGCATATAGGTAGTAGTTGTGTGGTGGTGGTTAAAACGAGTTTCCACTATTAACTTCGAGATAATTCAGAAGCCATTTGATGCTTCCCAATTCTTGATGTATTTAGAAAACAGGGTTTGGAAAGAATGGGGTGTGGGTGTAGTTAAGCTTTTTGATTGTGACTAAATCCAGATTGATGGCCTTTGAAAGCCCATAGGATACCTGCTTTGCAGGGGGAGCAAATTATTAAAATGCATCATAAAGCTAATTTGTCTTTTCCCTCCTTGACAGATATCTCGTGGTAAGCAAAAAAAAAAAAAAAAAAAAGCAATGGAAAAACACAGGAGAATAATATAGAATCATAGAATAGTAGAGTTGGAAGGGGCCAGGAAGGCCATTGGGTCTTACCTCCTGCTGTTGTGGGATACCAAGTGACACCGTCCCACTCAGATGGCTAATTTCTTCTTGAATGTCTGTAGTGTGGGAGAGCCCACCACCTCTCTAGGCAGCTGGTCCCTCCCCTGTTGTGTTGCTCTGACAGTGAGGAAGCTTTTCCTGAGATCCAGCCTGAATCTGGGTTGTCGCAACTTGAATTGATTATCCTGTGTCCTGCACTCTGGCATCGGCAAGAAGAGATCTTGATCTTCCTCCCCAGAATATGTCTGACTCCCCATACACCTAAAAGAGCCAGGCAGGGTGACTGCACTGTGAAAGCCCTATCTGAAAGCATCCTTAGTCTTACATGGAATTGGGTTTTATTAGTGTTGAAGAGTCCCAAGAAAACAAAGGCTAAAGAGAGAGTGTGCATAAGAGTTATTCAGAATGCACAAATTCCAAATTCCTGGCACAAGAAGTCATTTATGTGCCACCTAAAGGGAATTACGTTGTGGCTGTGGTCAGGTAAGATGGATATTTTTTTCCTGAGCTACTTGCTTTTCTGGAAGCATTTCCAAGACTAGCTTAAACCCCTACTCTTTACAAGTGAAGTAGTTCATGCTTCCAGTTACTCCTGGAATCAGAGTCATAGGGTGAAGTTAAGCATGCTGGGCGAACTTGCTGCTCTTAAACTGGAGGTGAGCAGCCCCTACCACTCAGACCTATGTGGGCAGAAAATTAAGGGTCAGAAGACCACTGCCACTTTTGATAGTTCTGTTTTCATCATCGCTACTTTGTGGCAGAATTGGCCTGAAAGTAGTTAAAAATAACCACACTGGAATAGTTTTTCATGTTTGCAGATGTAGGGAAATAACGGCTAAGTGGTGAAAATGAACACTTCTTGATATACACTGTGTCAGAGGGAGAAGTTAAGGTATATGTTATTCGCAGACATTCTACAGGTGCCCCTGCCAAGGTATAAAATGTTTCCCTTCATGGCAGTTGTTCTCCTTGTATGTCAATGTGTTTTGGCAATGCAGGTCACTGAATTCTTATGGTGCAGATGAATGAGTATTTGCAGACACGTGTCTGAGGCCTAGTAAATCAAAAACTCTGGAGGCTGTTCAGATGTTTTTCTACCGCAGGATTTTGGAGGTGGCAGAAACAGATCTCTGCCCTGTTGTGATGAGAAGTGAACAAGTAGACCAAGAGAGGCTGTAAATTTCTCAAAAGAAGTTGGGAAACTTCTTTAAAGAAGTTATTCAATCTTGTGTTGTCTGTGCCGCCCCGTTCACCGAGGCTCCGGCGAATGGGGCGGCATAGAAATTTTCTAAATATATAAATAAATAAGCAAGACATCTCTTGGTTTTGTCCTCTTTCAGTAGTGGACAAAACAGAGGGAGGTGACTCATGAGTGTTGTGCGGGGAGTCGGGGGTGAAGAACCCAGCCCGTCCAGAAGTACTGCTCAGTCGATACGTAGAAATGCCAACTTGTAAGGGCACACAAGTGTTAGGTCTGGGAATGGCAGCTCCTGAAATGTCACTGCCATAAGAAATAGCCTGCTTGCTTTATTACTTCCTGCCCTTCCTCCAAAAAAGAGTGCTGCTCATCCATTGGACAGTATAAAAATATAATGAGCAGCTCAAGACTGTGTATGTGGTTCTCCTCCACCCCTCCTCTTTATCCTCACAATCACCCTGTAAGGTAGGTTGGGCTGAGAGAAAGGGCCATGGGCAGAGAAATCCTTTATCCTTGAGGCAGTCCTGTAAGGGCCGTAGGACTTTTTCCCATAGTCCAAGCTCCAAGGTTGGAAAGCAGCACTGATCACAGAGTGCCAGCCCCCTCCCCCCCACACACACACACAGCTGGTACGGATGGAACTGCGCCAGTGGTGTCTCTGAGGTCATAAGAGAAACCCTGGAGAAGGAGTGAGAGGGCATTCTGGGCACTTGAGACTGGTAAGAGGTATTGTGGCAGTGCCCCGGTCTCCTCTCCCTATGCAGAGTGCCTTAGTAGGTGGTCAAACTCAGCTGTCTAGATGATCTAGACAGAGGTGATCTTTGCCTCTGTGCTGCTTTCACCATGCATAGGATACCATAATCCTCTGAATTCAGAGGCTTATGGGCACCCTCACTGGACTGTACCTTCAGTGGACTTTGTGCCTGTGTGTGGATTGCACTCTGTCTGGCCCTTGACCAGATGGAGTGGTCTCTCTGTGCTATGTGAGTCCACACTGGAGATGGAAGGGGTGGGGTGTTGGGTAGGATTTGGTTCTGTCACTTCAAACGAATAACATCTGGATGCTTAAAATTTGGGTCTGATTTCTCTGCATCTCACTTGCTGTGAATGAGCGAGTGAGGTACTATTTAGAAATGTATTCTTAGTCGTGAGCACTCTCTTCCTGGATGCTTCCGTGTGTATCCTCTCAGACAGTATGTGCTGCGGCTCAGCCTTTTAAAAGTGAGGGTTGTATGAGTGTAAGGAAAAAGTTGAGCTTCCTGATGAAATTTGGGCATAGCAGTAATTTACTTGAAAATGATGTGCATGTGGAAAGAATGGGTTAACGGAAGCAAGCATTCCAGCTTCTTGTTTCAAGTGGCAACATTGCAGAAATTCCTGATGACATTTTGGAAAAAGACTAGCAGTTTACAGAGGCACTGAGTGGGTTCTCATGACTCAGTATGCCATCTATAAGCCACCTTTGGGCTTGCCATGACACCTAAGCACAAATGGCACAAATGTCAAGGTTTTGCTTAGGCCAAATTGCCACAGAGACTCTTGGCAAAAGTCTTGATGCTCTTGCCAAGCAGCTCTGGGTGCCTACCAATAATAGCTGCCCCCAAGTGCCCAAGCGGCAGTGCTGGCGGAGACGCTGTGCATGGATTCCCCACACTGATACACACTTTCACTAACCACAGGATAGTTCTAGGTGGAGAACCTTTTTCTTATGAGGGCATTTACTCAGGGTTTATCCATTGGAGGCTATACAATATTAGTAGATAGGGCCCATAGTGATGGAAATCTTCCCCTTTTCTTCTTCACGCATATTCTTCTCCACCCCCCTCCCTTGCCCCCATCCTTTTTTTCCCCACCTAAGAGGGTCACCAGGGGAGGTATAGATAACTCTTTCCAATGGACTGAATCGGTCACTTGCAAATTAGACTGGGGGTTGCAAGTTGGCTGTTCCTACTCTACATGCACCCTACTTCTCTTCCCTATTCCCAAGTAATTCTGAACCACAAACCACAAGCGTGCTCTCAATGGATGGTTACTGTGATTAAAGTGTGTCCCTTTTTGTCACCTGCTGCTGAAGGCTCTTGGATCATGGTTAAAAGAGCTTTTCCCTTTTCCGGCTCTCTGCTGTCGTCACTTGTCCCTGAGTCAGCCACCCTGCAAAAGAACTGGCCATGGGCTCTTGACTGAGCCAGGCAGCTGTTTCATCCCAAGTCACAATCTTCTTTTTCCCCTCCAATCTCTCTCTTGCAGAATTCTAATGTAGAAAATTTGCCTCCTCATGTGATCCGGCTGGTTTACAAGGAAGTCTCTACTCTGACCTCAGACCCACCTGAGGGCATCAAGGTATTCCCCAATGAGGAGGACATCACAGATGTGCAGGTCACCATTGAGGGACCTGGTAAGTAGAGCGCCATGGAGGCTTCCTCTTTGAAGCTTTTAAGCACACACTCGAGACACTTTTTCATCCCTGCAGTGCCTGCTCTAGCCACTATAGGGGCACCCTTGCTTCGGATTGAGTCCGAGAACAGGAACCGGGTGATGGCGCTGTGCAGGTGGAAATGCAAAGGGGTGCTTGATGGCAAGACTGTCTTCCACAGGGAACACAAACCTAGTTTTTCACCAAGACTCCTCTGAGTTCCCTGACAAAGAGTTCCCTTGACCTACCTTTCAGGATGGGGATACACTTGCTCGGGTTACTACTTCGACCCTCCTGAGAGGCAAACTGCATAGTTTCATGTTATGAGCAGGATGAAGATACTTGCGGCTTCCTTGCTATTAGGAGTGGGCAGCTGCAATAGCAGCAGGGAAGACTTGCAACTGGATGGGAGTTCGGGAGTTCGGGAGTTCGGGAGTTCGGCCACAGTCATGAGGCCTGGCTGTGGGTAGCCAGCCCCGTACTGGCTTGTGAGCAGAGTGGGAGCGAGGGAGTCCATTGGTTTCCACCACATGATCACCCCTGCTGCAAGGGGGAATGAACAAAGCAGCCATGATTAAATCATGGTTTACAATGTGAGGTTGTCTCAACAATACAGGCATCCTGGCTCATATCTTACTTAATTTAACATCATGCTTATCCTCAGGAGAAGCAATCAGCCAGCTTTAGGATTGGAGAATTTGTCTTGTCAGGATACATCATAGGCCAACTGAAATATATGCTTGTGGGTGAACTTGGCAGTGGGTTTTCTGGGTAAACTTGCAGAAGATCCTTTTATGTAAGCTGCCTTGGATGTGGTTGTTCTCTAAAAGTTGAAATACATATATTTCATTGTAAATTTCATACAATGTCTAAATAGTACAATTTTGTGTACTAACAGTTATGACTAATGCTTTTTATATTTAAAATGTAGGCTTGCTTTAGGTTCCTGAGAATGTAGTACAATATCTCCCAAAAATTTCCATTTTTCCCTGGAAAAAACAAAAGGAATAAAACTACATTTCATGGCTTTACCATTTCCCAAAACGTGTATGTATAGCGAGTGGTTCATTAAAAATGGAAGTGAGAGCTACAGATAACCCCCTCGTGGCAGCTCTGGAAAGGCAAGTGCGTGAGCCCAAGCTTTAGCTCACTTTGTTCTCTCCACGATGGATCAAGGCATATTATGACGTCTGTCACAGCCATTATACCTGTACTGTGAGCCAGTGTTGCTACTGGTTTGACAACATAAAGAGTATCCTTACCTTCTCCAGTACAGCTTGGAATAAATTAAGAGTCCACAAACCAACGTCCTAAGAAACCCTGGATTTTACTTTTAAAATATTCCTAGTCCTAATTACTTTGGAGATGAACATGTGCCTGGAGTTGCGGAATTCCTATTCATCAGAAGCTGAATAAATCAGTGTAGCTGAAGAAAGCAGACACACATATAAATGAAAGTTATTAGTACTGGCTACAGAGTTCTGCCTTTTGGATGTGCTGACATAGGAGAAGAACCAGATTCCCACATGTTTGGCTGCTGCAGATCACTTAGTCTTAGTGCCATTTACTCCAGTTGGCAGCAATTCTACTGGATCTTCAGCAAGAGGATTTCCCAGCCTTGCTGCTTGTGACCCTCTTGTGATGGTAATAGTGGGAATCAAACATGAAATTTTCAGCATGCAAAGCATGTTCTCTACTACTGAGTTACTGCCTCCTCACCTGGAGAGGCTGAAGACCAATCATTGATTTTTTTTAATTATAAATTTATCCTGCAAGAAATAGTCTGGACTCACATGACACAACAACCCACCTGGGCAAACCCAAACTGCATGTTTTCACGTGGGGCTGTCCTTGAGATTGGTTCAGGAACGACTACAGCTGGTACAAGAATGTGGTGGCGTGATTGCTTGGCTGAGTGTCTTACTATGCACATGGTTTCTGTACTGAAAGCCCTTCACTGGCTGCCAGTTAGCTGCAGAGTCATGTTCAAGCCGTTGCTGCTGGTTTCTACAGCCTTAAGCAGCTCTGGAGTATCTCCTGTAGTGCTTGCTCTGGTCCTTGTGTTCGAAGGGGAAGGATTTGCTGACCATGCCATGGCCAATCGAAGTTCCTTTGGCTGTGGGGGAGGAATTTTTCAGTTGTAGGGTCCACCATGTGAAATGAGCTCCCCAGTGAGCTCAAACAGGCCCTGAGGATGGATTTTTCTAGTGACAACTGAAGGCATACTTATTTACCCAGCATTTCCCTGGCTGCTGGCATTGTAAACTACTCGTGGTTGTTTTAACAGTTTTTCTAATTATTGGTTTTATTTCTTTTCCCCCCTGGGTTTTATTATCTAAACTGCTTTGTGATTGCCTTTAAAAATGAAAAGAACATTCAGAATGTTCTGAAATACAATAAAAGATAGGGAATAATGCCTAGTGAATGATCAGTGACAGATCTAAAACAAAAATTTTACAGAAGGCAGCCTTAAAACAAAGCAAAACATGGTGCAAACCTCTCTCCTGTCCGCATCAGAGTGTGGCTATAGAGGGGGATATTCCATACTACAGTAATGTTGAAAGACCCTTCCCCTCCTTTTTCCCACTGCAGAGGGTACCCCATACTCGGGTGGCCTCTTCCGCATGAAGCTGATTCTTGGCAAAGACTTTCCTGCCAGCCCACCCAAAGGCTACTTCCTGACCAAAATCTTCCATCCTAATGTGGGAGCCAATGGGGAGATCTGTGTCAACGTGCTCAAGAAAGACTGGAAAGCGGAACTGGGCATCCGGCATGTCCTGCTGGTGAGTAGCAGCTTTAACAAGCTTAAATGGATGGCAGCTTTGGGATCCACACTGGGTTGCAGCAAGCCCACGTTACTCTGCTTAGGAAGAAAGTAGGAAGCTTCCTTGTAGTCTATCGAACTATTTGTCCGGTATGGTCTAATTGAGGGGTGGGCAGAAAGTAGATCTCCAGATGTTTTGGACTTAGAGCTTCCAGCATTCCTGGCCATTGACCATGCTGGCAGGGATTTTGGGGAGCTGAAATCCAAACATCTGGAGAACTGATTTTGGGATGGCAGCACCTTATTCAGGCCATAGAGAGAATGCACAGTTTTCCAGCTTTATTATAAATACTCTCCAGCATCTGAGATGCATTCATTCTGCGGATCTGTACTAGACACTTCAGCTTGCCTGCCCTTACTAGTTGCCATGCATTAGCTTTGGCCTGGGTTTGTGTCCAGCACCAATTCAGATGTGTGCAGTGCCGCCTGCACCATTTCAGTGCATTGATGGGGAGGGGAGGGGAGGGGGGCTTTTTGGAAAGCATCCATATTTCAGAGTCCCTCTGCCAGTAGAAAGCTCATGTGTCAAAAAGGTGGTTTAGTCTTCTCCCACAACAGCTTCCCGCCAGCAGTGAGCTTTAGACACAGAGACACATTCAAATGAAGTTATTGTTCCTTCATAAGCACATGTGCATTATGGGGTGATAACAGGCCTATGAAGTTACAGTACCTTGTTCCTGGCTCCATTTCTTAATCTAAATCTGGTTTTAGTCTGGGAGCAAAAGACTTCTGGGGCCACGGTTCTCAGTTCTGCTCATCTTACCTATTAGTTCATTCATTTGTGGGTTTTTTTTTTAAACCTGAAATCCTGTCTCTAATGATCCCCACTGC